TGTAAAGACTGAAACCACCATCCCCGCACACAGGTGGATGCTCAATGGTTGAGACAGAATCCGTTTTCTTAACCGGAGCATATTGCGACATGGAACTGAATTCATTCCGTGTGCTATGCAAATGACCTGGATATTGCGTTCAGATTCGGATGTAATCACAACTGTTTTAGCAACTGAGATTCGAACCTGCTCGCACATGTGTAGTTGGTGTCATTCGGGTAAAACTAGCGGACAGGGTTCAAGGTCATCCTTGGGGTATCCGCAATGGACTGGAGGGTTTCTGTTCCAGAAAACTGAGACATTCGGGTGAATAATGTTGATTGGTTTCGCCTTGGGCATAACTTGTAAACGAAGTGGTCAGTTTCTCAGGTGTTGTTTTCTGCACGAAAAAAATTACTGTCACAGTTGAGTGGTAAATCTAGCGTAGCACTGTGTCCGGTAGAACAATGTATGGGATCTTACAAACCAATCATGTTACACGAAATCTGTGATGGAACGCAACCCCCTGGACAGAGGATCCGGGAAAAATGTTCTATCCGGGGAGCCAAGCAAATGCTACCATTCAGAACAAAGTCGATTGCAGCAGAAAAGGGGTTGCACCCAATCAAGGGATAGTAAATGACTGTCATGAGTTAACATTGAAAGTGACGTGACTAGAGGTCGTAGTGGCGCTCGTGAACCTACTCAACATTTTCGCAACCCCAGCCAATATGAATTTTGTATCTTCTCTTTGAATCTGCTCTCAACATTCCAATCTTTATTCTGCTATTTTATCCAAATGGGTATCATCATCTTCGTACAGCGAAACACAGTGAGGCGAAATTCACTGATCGCTGCCAGAGTCGCAACGCATAAAAGGTTGGTAGTTAGGTTGCACAGGGATTGGATCTATTTTGAGGGATCGAGAAGAAGGTGAACCACTGTGGTCAACACACCGAGTACGCAATCGAACTCTGCATACATACCATTTCACACATTCTGACCTGATAAGAAATGACAACAAGAACGCCACTGCTGTCGATTCGCTGCCATACCCTCCATCGTCTCCAACTAACCGGTTGTAGAGTCTTTCGGACCCCAACCTGGAAGGCGCGAGACATCTACTCCACTTAATGCCTTTGTGCATTTCTCGATGCCTCGTCTCTACGTCATCTGTTGACCTCCACGTGGTTTGCTCCAGTCCGGATTAGCTACTGCGAATGGGACGCGGTGCGGCAGATGACAGCCGGGAATACGCAATACGAGTCCTAGCCAGCGAAACCTACTAATCTGAATTCGATGTGCTAGTCGCTTTATCCCTGATAAACTCCTAAACACACGACGGCTTACCTATATATTACTAAGCCGCTCGCTCCATCCAACATGGGCTAAACTACGTAAACACCGATAATCAAAAACTTCTAGACGATGGATATTTACTCGCAAATTCAAGGCCTCACAACCATAAAGCAGGACTGAACGAACGCTAGCACAATATACACGACCTTTCAGCTTCAATGAAACGTCGCGTCTACGCCAAACGTGTTTCAGTCCTGCGTATGCTGCTCGAGCCTTGGAAATGCGGGCCATTATCTCCTTTACTGCACTACCGTCATTGGTCACGCAACTACCTAATTAGGAAAATTAATTCACCATAACTAATTCCTGGCCATTTAGTTTCAGAGCGGGAGTAGACGAAAGCCAGTCCTGCAGCATCACTTTGCACTTCGAAGGTGCAAAGCACATAATGAATGTGGTAACGGTGGTCTATTTTTTGGCTGAAAGCTTGTATATATAACTCGCTAAAGCTTGAATCTAATCCAATACAATACAACTGAACTTGTTACTCTATTAAGTGCGCTTTGCGCGTCCTCCATTCATTCGAACAGACAGATGACGTCATCGGCGTATTCCAAATCCCACAGTTTTTCTCCAACTGCCCATTTAATACCTACATTTTGGAGACAACTTAGTGCGTCCTCCAGTATTTCGTCTGCGACAAATTTGAACAGGAACAGCGATAGAGAGAGCACTCCTGACGAACGCCGTTGCTGGTGACGAACGGTCAACTTAGATTGTTGTAAACCCTTGGTCGACCGGAGGTCTGCGAGTACAGTGATCTCAGTAAGTTAACGTACATCTGGGGCCTTCCTTTTCGAAGAAGGGAACCCATCAGAGCTTCGCACCTTTCAAGTCAAGGAACACTGCGATCGTTGATCGCCGGTGGGTGTGACACAGCTCAGGGACTTGACGGAACGTAAGTATTTGTTCAATACATCCGCGGCCAGGCCGGAATCCGGCTTGCCGTTCACGGATATTGATCTTTCTTAAAGGAGTCAGACGTCGAAGTGAGACCGAGGCTAGCACTTTGGTGACGATCGGGATCAAACTAACTCCGCGAAGGTTTTCGCAGTCGGTGCGAGATCCTTTCTTGATAATGGGAACGATCAGTGATTCGCCTTAAGATGAGCTCTTGCGTCAGAATGTTGCACGATAAGGTAGAGATGCAGTAATTTAGTACTGGAGGTTATCATCTCCAAATTTAAAGAGAGTAGGAGGGAGCTCATCCGGTCCTGCTGCCTTTCCTCGCTTCAGAGCTAGAATGCTGAACCGAACTTCTGCTCCTGCTNATCGCATGACACTGCCCACGGAGCAGTTGCAGATGAGGCAACCTGGTTAGCGGTAGGCCAGCTGTACTGTTCGCTGAAATATTCTGCTCAGCGATCACGTAGTTCATACCTATTGTGAATGGTTTGTCCCCTCTTATCACAGATTGTTTCACTAACTGCGGTTCGCCGACCCCCCCCCCCAGCATTGCGTATCAGTCGGAACTATCGCTAACTATTCCTGAAGCCTTTACTACTTCCACTTCATTAGCTATTATTTCCCACCAGTTCTCACGGTCCTTCTTGAGGGTCTCCGCAAGCGGACGTTGTAGATCCAATCTAAGTCTTTTTGGATCCTGGCAGGTTAAGACTTAACGTTTCCTCTCCATCAGGGCTACTGACTCCAGAGATATCCAATGCCTCCGACGGGCTTCAGGTTCAAATCTACAAGCAACATCCACAGCGGGAAGTACTGCTCGTCTAATCTGATCCCACTACTCAGACGCATCATCAGTTTGCGACGCGCCTAATCCATATGCTAGCTCTCTTTCAAGGCGCACACGAACTGAAAGAACATATAGTCCATGATGAACTATCCGAGGTTGCTGGTAATGTCGTACACCAGTAAGTCCGACAGTGAACTGCATTAAAACTAATGCATGGTCACACTCAACGTAGGTGGTCCAAAAGAAGTTACATTTCTCCAATGGTAGCTTATTACTACGTGATCGACCTGAGTTAGCGTACCAGTTGAACTAGAGCGCCACGTTGCTGTCCGAACCAAGGGGTTACATGCTGTACAATGAACGCATGCTTGAGACGTACGTACACGCACGCAAATTTCTTGCTCCACATTTACGACAACCAGTTCAGACAGCCAAATCTGCGGCCTTACGCAAGCACGAACAGTACCAAGCGGATCAACACAATCATGGTAGTTGCACAAATGATTCGGGACAGATGATGGATGGTACCGTGTCCGGTTCTTCACCTGCTCCCTCTTCGCCGGATCTGGAATCACCACAGTCAGACGATGAGCTCACTGTGGACGATGGTGGTAATTTGGATATGCAAAAAGGCGAGTGGCGTGGTACGGGCGACGTCGGCGATGGAATGGCTAAACGAGGCAATCGAGCAATTATTGCTCCGGGGATAATGTTTCCAACCGTGGCAAATTTGTACATCGTCCCGTTCAGTGATGAGGCACTGTTTGCGGAACAGTCCGCGAAGGCGAACTTCTGGTATCAGCAGGTGGGTTCATGATCATACAACAAACACCAAATACTATCCACATTATGCGCCCCCGTCCTTCTAATTCTTCGTGAATGTCATTTTTTATTATTAATGGATTGAAAAACTGTGCCCTTGTCACTAAAATTAAGGTAGTTATTTTGTCACTGGTTTTCCTCCGTTTCTGAACGACGGGTAGTTCCGGATCTTGGGTTCCCGGTTACCATCACTGAACCGCAGGTCTTCTTGTCCATTAGGTTCATCTAGTCTGCTGTTCATGTCACACTAGTATGTGACGAAAAAAACTATATTGAAGCCTATTATCATTTGCCGTTTGAGGGCTGAAGCTGCCGCTGCCATACACAACTCCATCCCAGATTTGAGCTTTTTACACTACTGGTGGATTACAAAAACAAAACGAATTATGTTCGTAATTTGAACAATTTTTAGGTATTTTTTCTTTAGGTGTTTGAATCCACCATACGGTTTTTGCTTGGTATCGAACTTGTGTTCATATAAATTGAAATTGTTATGCGATTGCTTGGTTGTAGTCGCATTCTGATAAATCTGTGTTCGAGCGAGCAAATCTAGTACCCATTCTGCATTTGTGGATGCGCCATAGTCTCGTAGTCTGCACATCTTAGTGTGAAGTACGAACATAAGAGAATACATGTGCGCTCATAGTCATCATCATACAGTGAAGCGAACTTCACTAATGACTGTCAAACTCGCAATGCATGCAAGATTAGTGGTCGATTTGAGTTAGCGTATCGGTTGAACTAGAGCGCCACGTTGCTGTCCGTCGAGAGCTGTGTCGGAAGTTGGTGCTAGATAGGAACAGATAATGGCCTGCGCAGAACTGAAGAAGTCGATTGCCGTTATCAGTTCGTTCGCACGGTAGAGCACAACTTCCGCCTAGACAGGCTTCTGATACGCTCAGTTTTGCAACTTGTGCATTGAAGTTACCTACAAGTACAACAATGTTGAAGCTTCGACTCATCCGAATAAGATCGGTGAGTTCGTCGTAGAAGGCGTCCTTTTGGGTATCAGAACTGCAATTGGTCGGTGCATATGCAGATGCTATGAACAAACACCTTTTGGTGTTGCTTTCCTTCCGGGCGCTGATTGAACCCTGGAGACGCACTGCAAATAAACGACTGTTGACGGGGATCCAGTCGATAAGAGAGGACTCCACCCTGTTGCTAAGTACAATACCTACCCGGCACTGACCCACTGAGCGGGCTTCGTCGTCGCCTGATGTACAAAGAACATATCTCGAAGACAAATCTGGCGCGCTCGAGTGGCCTATAGTAGTAGGATCCTAGATACGAGTCTCTGACACGCAACAAATATCGATTCTCGGGATTCCATTGTATGAGCCAGACAAGCTTGTTGGCCTACCTGCATCAGAGTCCTCAAGTTGAAGGCCCCCAGATTCAGTGATTGACGAGGCTTTCGAATCTACAATCCATATCGTGGTACGTAACTTATAGTGTTATTTGGCCACTACCTTAGGTGGGCGGCATCCAAGTTGCTTGAGGGGCTATTATCGGTCGAAAGAAGGGGCAAATGGAGAGGGCTGGGTACTGAGGATGAATTAAACAAAGGTTGGAGAATCTGAGCAATAACCCACTTATCACTACCCACCCCGCTCGATGTAATGGGCAGCGCGGTCCTGATTATCCTACGCGACGACTGATGCAGTATGGAGTTATCTTTAGTTTGTGTGTGCATTGTGGTTTGATGGACGGATACTGCTATAATGTCTAGCCACTAAGCAGGGTTCTCGTCCAAAGCCTTTAGTTCTGACAAGAACCTGACCGCAAGGCAGCGGGTAAAGTGAAGTAGAGCCACATTTACTTGGATTGATTACTCCTGCACTATTTCCACCAAATGAAACGCCAATTCTGGTCGAACCCCCAACTTGGAGGGCCAGGAGACTGGACCTCGTTTGACCTTTCAGGTATGATTAGATCTGCGGCTTGACAACAGCCATCCTGTGTAGTTCGTTGGGTCAGAGAGGTGCACAAACCATCACACCACGTCAGGGTGCGGTCTCATCGTGACAGCCAGAAGGCGAATTAAAACCGGTACCCGGAAGTACACGATCGATGGTGGCAAAAACTGAATACGCTGTCACATCAAATTAGATTAACCTAAGGAATATCACAGCATGATGCTGGAGATTCGTAGGACGATTAACTTTGTAGTGTTAAACACTGTCCTTAAGAACATCTTTCACGATAACCGCATACCACCAGTTTTCTTGAAAGATGTCGACAGTTCAATCAAGCCTCTCGGTAGCATCCTTTCTTTGCTGAATGATGGCACTAGCATGGGTCTTCCCACTCGGATAAAATCGCGCTGCAACGCACCATGCAACGTTTCTTCGTATTTATTCGCAGTTTTGTTATTTACTCCTCAGTGTAAGCTACTTGTGTGACTGAATGGTAATTCGAAACAATCGCGGAATGTCGGCCGTATATGATAGCAGCAGTCAGGTCAGGTATTCGAGCAACGGTTTTTGAGCAACTGGGAGTCCGCAGGGTGTTGCGTCTGCGTCATGGTCATCCACTGTTGGGATGCTGTCAACTAGTGTCTAGTATCGCACGTTATTTGGCTCCAATTATCCTAGGAGAGACTGTTACGAATCGGACAACAATCTACATACAATAGTTTGCCACTGAGACAGACAGTATTTCAATATCCACCAACATGAGATGCACACGACAGACAACAAGCAATATCAACAAGGTTGAGTTTTGAAAGTTCCGAAAATCAGTGGTTAAGTGCGTTTTTGGTGAAAAGGGCTCAATGGAACTGCCGATTTCACTTCACACTCAAAGTTAAATTTCTTCACAGGCACCCGGTATGCTAACACGTCTCTACTTGTCACTGTGAAGTGAAAGGACATCCGTAGGTTCTTTGCCTTTATAACCTGAAATATTGCACTGATTTGATCAAAACGTCACGAGGTTCAATAGTTATCAAACAATCATGATGCAATCGTCAAAGTGATAAGATCACAAAGTTGTAAACCTGGTTCAAACGGCTCCACCGCCACCCCCTCATCTTTATTTCTGTACTTTCCCAGGCAGCCATTGTATGGCCGCGGCCCCCTTCCTGAAAGTTAACTGTACACTTGCATATTCAATAAATGAAAAAAGAAGTAAAAAGACATTTTTGAACCTTTGCAGATAACCCATAAGCTGAGCTGAGTCATTTGTCGCGAAGGAATGGGATCAGCTTAGTGTTTGTTTACGTCACAGCATTTTCGCAACGGTCACTGGATAACACGGTTTGGAGACAGATAATAAGATACTATCCGTGTAACTTATTGTACATGGCGACCCTTGTAATCAATGTACGGCGCAGCTCCACACTGTGGTTGACACTAGGAAATCACGACTATCGACCGAAAAGTGGGAAACGTAACCGCTACGCATAGACTTATTGGTCGAAACAGACGGGCAAACCATGGGTGGTCGGTCGATTCAACAGATTTAGGTAATGCGGACAAATGTCACAGAAGAAAGCGTTCATACTCTGAGTCTCCTCAACATGGATGTGCTAGTTTATTGTCCTCTAATTAGATAAGTGCTATATAACAACCACATGCGGTCACAAAACTCGCAAACGTGCCAAGCCAACCAATGAAAATCTCCCGGGATTTTGGTTGCGTCTGAACTGTGAAAAGAGAATACAATACACACAACTGAAGAAAACCAAGGCCGTTATGAGAATAAGACCATGATGATTCGCCAGCGGAACATCGACCGCCANCGGGGGTGCAATGGAGCGGAATAAATGGAGGAAACAGTCAGAGGGGAATGCAAGAGGAGGAGAAAAACCGATGTATCGGGCTGGAGAAAACGGTGTTCCTCCAAATGATGATAGTAACACAGGATATTTGAACGAGATATGGAGACAGAAACAAATTGAGGGCGAAATCCTGAGTCTATCGGTGGATCAGAAAAACGGAGAAACAATTGGTAGTGGGAGTACAAGCAATGGATACATAGTGCTAGTTGTAGTCTGGCGGGAGGAAGGACTCGCGCCCAACAAACATTCAGACAAAAAACAGTTGACAAGCGGCATCAGTGAGATACAATGGACAAGAAAAACCGGGGGATCATGACATTAGACATACAATGTTGATAGGAACGTGGAACAACCTGGCATTCAATCGGGCGGGGTCGTGTAAAGCACAACTCATTGAAAAGTGGCAAAAACGTGCAAGGTGTGGAAACTGACCACAATACGATAGATGGTCATGCACGGAGACTAAAGTGGTGGTGAAGTTAAAAGGCGCGGGTCAGATGAGCCTGTGAAAAATTCCGGATTAAGAACCAGAACACAAATGACCGTGCAAATTTCAGTTTTTCATTGATAGATGTATTCATGTTAAATATGTATAGGTACATTGAGAGAGAGAGAGCGAGAGTATGAACATCGGACCAAGGTAACCGGCTTTACGCGTCTGAGGAGAAGGCAATATTGCATTATTCCATTGTGAACGGACCTGAAAGCAACCACGGTAGAACTCAATCAGGATGAATTGGAACCGGCAGAACAAAAATACCCCTGCTGGGGTCATACATATATGTATCCTCGTGCGTTCAAAGGATAAGTTTCATCACGGAAGACAATTTATTACATACAGAGTATATATATATATGGTACAATAATCTTGATAAAAGAAAAATGTTCCACGATTTGCATGTGGGCCGAAAACTACCAGGTTGCCCAGAGCCTTCGCCTAGCCAAAGCAAGGCAGCGGGGCGGTGTGCGAAAACCGCAGTTCATTGGGAACCGGTGTCCAGTTCATCGGATCATACACCCTTCGGACGGGGTCAAACTTCCAAGGTGCCCTATCGAGCCGGTGATCACTGCAACAATCTCCAGCCTCCAAAGCTTAATTATGGTCGGGGGTGGATATCTAGGGTTGCGGCTGGTCACCCTTCCCTTGAGCCTCACGAAGAGCCTCCATACGACCAAGCATTTCAGACAGGTTCTGCTGAGGAAGCCTTAATCATTGCCTTCTCGTGGCTGTGTTGCCCACCAAAGTGAGAGGACGAAAAGTCGATATCCGGGGTAGTTCACCTAGGGGAGTTGGACAAAAACCCTGATTCTAAACCAACCAAGAGGAGGCGTATGAACCAAACACCCCTTCTGAGTTGTAGCAGTGGTCACCGGCTCGATTGGGCATCGAGGCGTATTGGGCACCTTGGACGTTTGATCCCGTCCGAAGGGCATATGATCCGATGAACTGGACACCAGCCCCCAATAAACTGCGGTTTTTACACACCGCCCCGCTGCCTTGCGGATCAGGCTTTGGTTAGCCGAAGGCTCCGGTTGTGGATTCCCCAAGAAAATTCACCTGCTTTAGCCTGGGCAAACTGGCAGTATTCAGCCCACACGCAAATTATGGAACGTCTTTATTTTTTTATAAAGATTCTTGTACCATGATTTGCTTGGTACACAGTCAGTTCTCAGACAAGTGTGTAGAAATATATATACAAAATATAGCAAAAACCGGGAAGGTGTGTGTGGTTCCTGCACATCCTCTTGGTTGGTTTGGAATCAAGGTTTTCGGCCAATTTCCCTAGGTGGAGTGCCAGTGGTCCACCAACCCGGTTATAACCCTGGATGCCGGATTTTCGTCTTCTCACTTTGGTGGGAAAACACCTCTGCCATGAGAAGGCAGTGAGTAGGGCTTCCTCAGTACTGGGTCACACAAAGAATAGAATGCTCTTCTAGTCTTTGCGCGACCCAGTGCGGACTGCAACGAGGTAGTGAGTAGGGACATATTGCCGGTGGCTCACTGGGAGCTTATTCGTCACTCGACTGATGCTCATCCACTTCACGTATCTAGGCGTCCACGCTGATTTAACAGATTTTGCTTTATGGTCCACGAGTGAAGCGATCTCAATTCCACCCAAGCAGGATTGGCTGTCTTCGCAAACTGTGGGTCATCGCCGTGCTATGGTTTTAAGTCTGAGAGAATCTAGGCCTGATTTTGCCTGTCGTTCGAAAGGTTTACCGGGATATGGCCGAAGCACATCCCTAAATAACTGATCTAATCCGTCATCGAATACAGAAACTGATTGTGTCGTTTCAAATCCCGTAGCAACGAAACCTGCTGCTGTCCGGACAACGGACGGCAACACAAATGGCGAGTGTCCAGCGGTGGTAACAAAAAAAGACAATTGGGAGCTGCGCCCACGGCCCAATCTCGCCAGCACACAAAGTTGGCACAGGAGTTGTTGACCTGCTCTCTTTTGTAATCACATGCTTGTGCATTGAATGAGCATATTTTATGCACAACTTGATTAGCTAATTGTGAAGTCTAAAAAGTTTTCCAAGTGAACAAGGCACAAAGTGTTTTGTAGGACTGTTTATTGCGTGTAAATTAGATGATTTTCACATGTGTTGCATATGTTTGGATGGAAAATACAATATGCGGCCTGGAGTACTGATGTAAACTATGAATTTCTATTTGGCCTCGTTTAATTTTCAGGCATTCTGTAGTCTATTTGGTACATTTTCCATGCTTTGAAGTCTATTGGGATCTAATTGAAGGGGTTCCAGTTTTTAATGAATTCCATTTTCTTGCACAGTTCATTATGCACTGCCGTTTGGCAATGGGACGGAATTTGAACTGTGCCCGTGGCATTCAATCAGCGCAAAGAATAGAGCACAAGTTGGCTTCGCGCATTCCTACATCGACCTTGGTATGACTTATTTGGTGGTGGTGAAGAAGTGGTTTGATCCATCACCACCACGACCGCCGTGCTCCAGAACTCAAGGTACACTGAATACGTTTACGTCAAAGTGGGCTTTAAGCAGATTGATTTTCCATGTCCGAAGGTTGAGTTTGACGGTTTTTGGTCAATGAATAAAGGGTTCTGGTGGAAACGGAGATTATCCCTTCCGCTGTTCAAAAAATTATACGTGCGAAAAAAAATATTGGAAATCGTTTTCGTTGATACACCAAGAAAATAATGTATAATCTAAATGCACTATCGCTCTTATTTACCTGGACGCCAACCATTGGTCGAATGGGAGATCGGATCCTCTGCGACGACCGGAACGTTCGGATTGCAGAATAAACCCGAGACTGCTGCTGCCGCAGCTGTCGCTGGGTCCAGGAGAACAGCACCGTGTGGCGGATGGGACTGAGGTGGTGCTACGCCAGTGGAGGAATGACTGGCCACGGCTACTGAGGATGGGGTGACCGGTTGGGGGGACATTTGCATGGATTGGAGTGGAGCCTGAGTAAGAGTGGACTCGGCCGAGCCAGATGCTGGAACAAATGCAGTTGGGTGCATAGCAAACAGTGGACCGGTTGATGCGGCAGCCGCGGCCGCAGCTGCCGCGGCTAGCGGAACAGTTAAGCCGGTGTTTGGCTGAGCTTGCACTTGAAGTTGCTGTTGCTGTTGTTGTAAGCACAAATTTGCGTAGTAAGTCTCGGTGGGGGAACGAACATGAGACCCCGGCGGTGGAGCAGGTGGATAACCATTGTAGCGAAAGTGTGGGTTCTTCAAATCCAAGCTATTTGTGATCTATTAGACAAGAAAATATCAAACAAGCAATGAGAAGCTTCTGTGATCAACACAATGCAATCGTCGATACATTCTTGTCTAGATAATAGATAGATGAAATTACCTAATTGCATCTTAATGGTTGAAAACTTTGCATCGAAAATTAAAAAGTGGGCATCAAACGAAATTCCATTGCGCTTGGTCAAAATCACTCAATACGATCTGGAGTGTGTACAGTGTGTGCGTGCGATTTGTGGATCAACTGTTTAACTGACCCTTAAAGGTGCCCAATTAAAAATTATCAATTGAATGAGGCAGGCATACACCCCATGACACGCATACACATCCAAATTGAGACCAACCTTAGTTTGGCTGCCCGGAACGACCAGCTCAATTTGAACATCGTATGACTGTCGTGAGTTGGCGCGCATGGTCACATGGCCTATCAGGGTTTGACCTTCTTGCACAAACAATGGGGTCCCAAGCAAGCAGCGCACCTGAGAGGAAGAGGGGGCCACAAGGAAAAGAGGAAAACATTGAAAATTAAAGATATATACGATACTCAAAATTTGGAACGCATACGATTCTAAACACAAGTGTCTCCAGGTACTGGCAATTATGTCTCACCTGGAGGAAGCGTCAGAATATATACAAAAGTGAAATCGTCGTTCGCCAACTTGAGACATCTGGCGCGTCGGAACGCTCGTTTGTCCTTGAAACGTCAAACGCATGTTATAACGGTTCGTCCAATTTTGCTGAGACTCAGCCATTACGAAAACAGGTAAGGATAGATTGTCGGCGTTTGAACACCGATGTCTGGGCCGTGGCTATGCGACTTCGTCAGGACAACATAAGCCATGCTGAGATTAGACCTGGAGTTTTATGTTATCATG